ATAACTTCAAATACAGTAGTAAACTGTTTTCTTCTTAAGAAAAGCTTCTTAAAATAACATCGAGTAGGGAACCGGTTGTGTGTACAACAACTAACACGAAGAAACCGTAACAGACAAGATCAATTGGCTAAAAATATTACAATATATGCGTTTACCAATAAATAGGGTGTGGTTGTGGATATGGGTGTGGATGAATGGAAGTTTCATACCCACCCACACCCACAGCTCACTCACACCGCACATTCCACTTCAATATTTTTTCGAAAATTGGATTTTCTAGGAAGAAGTATGGGCGTGGTATAGGTTGGGATGTGAGTATCGGCGTACGTATGGATGTGAGTTGTAGAGATACACCAATTTCTAATTTTTTGCATTAAAAATCGCTCATTAGCGGTACTTAGAACCGTCAACTCCGGCCAATTCTTTGAGTGAGACCTATTCAATTTTGATTGCTCTTTCTGATGCAATTACCAGACCTGACGGGATATGGTTAAAAGATGTAAGAATTGGTTAGAAACGACAAAAAATTCTAAATTTTCAGTCAATTGCAACCAGTTTTTACATGTTTTAATTAGATTCTGTCAAATCTGGTAATTGCATCAGATAGAGCGGTCAAAACTGAGTAGGTCTCGCTCGAAGAATTCATCGGAATTTACGATTCTAAGTATCGCAAATGAATGACCTTAAGTGTGAAAAATCAGGACTTGGTGCATCTCTGGTGGACTGTGGGTGTTGGTGTGTTTGGGTATGAGTGTGGATATGGTTGTGGCTGTTGTGTTCTTCTAAACTGAGATACCGGCATCCACAATTCCCACAACGACATCACATCCTCAAAGCAATAGTAATGACAATCAGACCTATTGCTGGGAGTGAAATTAACGGTCAATACAGAAGATTAATTGACGCTGATCATGACAAATTGCGAACACTAAAATCTTATATTCGAATGAGCTTGAAATCTCATTAATAATGCAGTATTAACATGATATATGAATATATTCAGTCACTTATTCAGAATAACAGCTTTACTGATATTTTTGCTATTGAGAGAGACATGTCCAAGTGTCTATTCTGATCAAGAAAGTAATTCATTGGCGATCATACATGAATGTGGAGTGTAGATGTGAATTCCTTGTGCGTACACCCATATCCGCATCCCCCATCGATTATCTGACAATAATTTTTTTTCGAATTTTCTGTAACCTGTTCACGAGTCTTACAGATTAAAGAAGAAATTTGAAACTTTTCAAGATAGTTATCTCTGTCGTATGATTCAGAATGATGCATTCATTTTTTTATGAGTGAAATTTGAGATCGAGAGCAGGTATCCAGAAATATCGTGAACTTGTTCTCTGTTGATAATGACTTATAAATACACCATAAGAGCAAGTTTTCAACCCCTAAGGTTGGCTTTTTTTTTGAAAGTTTCTTTTTAAAATTCTGTCGAGTAAAAAAACGTTGCACAACATATGTGCAGATCAGTTTGGTGTCTCTTACTTTAACTGTAACAGCAAGCGATACAATGACAAAATTGATGTTTTTTCTAGTATGAAAATGACTAGTTCTCTATAATATGCTTCGAACGCACAATGTGCGATAAAATAAAGATCAATCTTGCAAAAGCTGAATGTGCTCAGGGTGTGGGTGAGAATGAAAATATTGACCTCATTTACATCCACACATCTTCAATAATAAAAAAAACTGTATTTGAACAATTAATGTCTTTCTCAAAAGAGGTTTTAGCACCGAACTAGGAGGCAAGCCAAAGACGACCATTTTCAATATGGGATTCTTTTAGGATACCCAACGTGGTGAAAACAAGCATCATATATAAATTTCATTTTGTTTGATTATTGTGGTTGGAATAACAATTCATCAAATATAAGATCATTGAAAACCTTCTGACCAAACTTGATACATGATCGTCAGAGATCATGATGGTTTCGTACAATCTCATCTAACTTTTAACATAAAATCAAAAATATTCTTAATAGTTAATTGCATAACTTGAGGACGGAAGACAGCATATTTGTCAAAAACGTCCATTCATTCATATCAGTAATGAACTTATTCAAATCTACAAGAAATCAATAGATAAATATCATATGTATAGCAGAAAAAAATTAATTTATATATTGACAAATCTTAGCATAATGATGACATATGATGAACATAACACTGTCAATGGATGTGTTCAGTAGCAACTTATAACACTGCAACAACAGCTCTTTGTCGACATCTTTTTATATTACGCCATATTATCTTCCATGATTGAAAATAACGAATGTCAAGTGCGGCAACAAAAATTGGATCCACTGTTATTTTTATATAGTTAAGCAAAGAAGTATATATACCATGTTTAGTATTGACATCAATAAATTGAAAAGCCAGTACATGTGGGCTCCATAATACAAGCCAAATTGAATAAAATATTATTGTTTGAATTAAAAGAGTTTTTTTATGTTTACGACGAAGATTAATAATTTGTTGACTACGAATACCTCTTATTGAACTTACATGACGAATACAAAATGCGATGATAATAAGATTTAAGGTAACTGGAATAATATATATGATGAATAGATTAAATATCTGTACCGTTAAGGAAATATATACTATATCACAAGATTCACCTGCTCTATGCAATAATATAGTCCAATTACACAGAATTTCTATTGTGATAATAAATGCTGGTAAAATATAAATCAGAAAATGAGTTAAAATAATCAAACGAGGATTTTTTATAAAAACATTTCGATTAAATATTATTTGTGCGCAACGACATGCATTTAATGCTAGCAAAATATAACTTTGTACTATGCTAATATAAAATTTGGATGTTGCTTCAAAGTAACATATGATCAATTGAAATGTTGAATATAAACAAACATTACAATGACGTATAAAATAGAAAATGAAAAATCGAACTACAAGAAAAAAATCTGTTATTAAATATGCATATAACCACATCATATTTCTTTGTCTTAATGTTGAAAACGGTATAACTTGAATCCAAAAGATAGTATGAATAAAAACAGCAATTGAACAAACAATAATAGCAGGACTGATATTGTAGACTGAGCTTGACGACCAAGTTAGAGGTGTACAATTCATCTTTTTTTTTGCCTGCAACTATTTTCTATGAAAGATTTTGTATTCTAAAAAGAAGATTGTTCTGAAAATATGTCACTCCAAGAGTATTATCTTTGACATAACGACTATGGTGAGAGATTAATTCTAATAAAAATAGAAAGAAAAATGAAATGACTAGTTCATGATTATTGTCATTACGCATCATCAATGTTGATGATTCTATTTAGAAAAAAATCAGAATTCAATTAAAATCAGCACAATCTATCTTGTATATATTCTATAATCATACAAAGGATAAGCAGGTCTTTTTTTCTATCATATTGAAGTGATTGAAAAGAATAATAACATTTTTTTTTTGTTTTTATTTGTTATGATATTTCTCGTTGCATTTACATGACAATAGGTCTCAGTTGGTTCGCAATCGTCAAAATTTCAATCGAACTAATCAACAAATAATTTGAATTTCATCAGATATAACTAGTACTATGCAATTTAATTTAACTTGTTCATTGTATTTTCAATGCTTGTCATCAGAATTTCTTCACTCCTTATAGAAGATCTGTTATATTATAAGATAAATACGTAATAGGATTTTCCTTGATGGCTCGATGACTTGAATATAGTAAAAGAGCCTCTTCTATACATTTAGTTAATTAAAAAATGTAATTTTAATGTTTATATGTAATTGGAAATAAAATGCAAACAATATTTTTGCGTACTTTTTTTCCTTCTTTTTTTTCATCAAAGACCGCTTATAATCGACATCCAAATAGTGATTTCGATAGCTCTTGGGACAAATTACCCATCTACTACGTCGAAAACATTAACAGTGAACTGATACTGTTTGTATAACAGAAATTGTTTTTGTCCAGCAGACAAAAGTTTAAGACACGTTTATTATTTTATCGATTTTGCCATCATCGAACAACAGAAAAAGTTTCAAAAATATACTATTACATACAAAATTGAACGGAATACGTTTTTGTTATAAATATTTTAAAAAAACTATTGATTATAAAAATAGAATATTTGTTAATATTAATTAACGGTTATAGAAAAATCTTATCATAATTTTCAATTCTAAAGTACACTAGGCTGTAGGTGTGGGTGTATGAGAATGGAAGATTCACATAGACGTCCAGACTTCACACCCACATCCTCAAGCCTGTGGGAAATATTCTTATTACTATGATTATAATTTATCGCGTAACTAGAAATTAGTGCATTTCATTGTTCTAGAAAATCTATCTGAAAATATGATACAAGTCGTCAAACAAAAGATTCATCAGCTACTCGTAGAAAGCCTTGATGTATTTATTTGAAAACAAAAGTTTTGCAATTCATGTAGCTAACCATAAACAGAGTGAGGTACAACTGCATAAGAACGGCACCACGACACCCTGATTCTTTGGGTGTGAGGGAGGGTGGGTGTGGCTATGGGTGTGGGCCTTCTTTTCACCCATGCCCACAGTCGCAGACACACCCACATCTACTCTCAAAAACAGAAGAAGTTGGAAAAAGTTCTATCACAATTTAATAAGTACGAACAAAATATAGAACATCTGTTATTTTATTCAAAAAAGCAAGATAAAATACTAATTATCATTTTCTAGTCTTTTACTGAACAACAGCTCTCATTATCCAATTTAAACAGTCATTGAGTAACAGTTGAA